CAAACCATATCAGAATCTGGCCTTTGGGCCTAATTTTTAGTATATTTTAAAAATTAAGAATGAAAAAATCGGAATATTTTTCAGAAAATCGGATCAAAAATAAGATCGGAATATAATTCGGATCGGAAATGGTTCAGAAATAGGATCGGATCAGATTTACATAAGTAGTTCCAATTCTGTTCAAAAATGGAAATCAAATTTTCGAAAATCGGAACAGCAAAAAATTGTTCCGAATTCAAAAAAAATCGGTTCGAAAATCGGAAAAATTGGAATTTTGGATGAAATTTACACCCCTAACTATAGTTATTTTTGTTAAGTATCACCTAATGGAATTATTAGAGCTTTCCGTCGATATTTTCTCCTATGGTGTCCAGTCAACAATCCATGTGAAGGCTAAACAACGAATTATATCCATTGATAGCAGTTCTTAATACAACGGTCAAGATTCATTCATAATCCCACTTCACCAACGAAAGCACATGTAGTTGCCAAGTCATCGATCCGAGTGAAAGCCTTTCAATCATTTATACCCGTTGATATTAATAAAAAAAAAAGAGAAAACGTACGCTCAAGATTTGCTCTCCATCCATCTGAATTTCTATATAAACTACTTTTCCCCACACTCAAATTTCAAATCACAATCTCAAAAGTCAAAACTGTCTCATTTCCCTCCATTTCTTCTTGAAAAAACCCTAGATATAGATCTAAATGGCACGCACGAAGCAAACTGCTCGGAAATCAACCGGAGGAAAGGCTCCACGTAAGCAATTGGCGACCAAAGCAGCTCGCAAATCTGCTCCTGCAACCGGAGGTGTGAAGAAACCTCATCGATTCAGGCCAGGAACTGTGGCTTTGAGAGAAATCAGGAAATATCAGAAAAGTACTGAGCTTTTGATAAGGAAACTTCCATTCCAGAGATTGGTGAGGGAAATTGCTCAAGATTTCAAGACAGATCTGAGGTTTCAGAGTTCTGCAGTAGCTGCACTTCAAGAGGCTGCTGAAGCTTATCTTGTTGGACTCTTTGAAGATACAAATCTCTGTGCTATTCACGCTAAGAGGGTTACCATCATGCCTAAAGACATTCAATTGGCTCGTCGGATCAGGGGTGAGCGTGCTTGAGAGTGGTAATTGATGAATTGTAAAGATGATCTAGTGGTTAGGGTTAATGCTTGATTGTGTTTGCTGATTTCGATCTAAATCTGTGTGGTTGTAATATTCCATTTTAGCAATGCTTGTTTGTATCAATCTTAAAGTTGATTTTCAATGAAATAGCATATTTCGTTTTACAGCCTTGCTATTGATTTTTCTATTGTGTTCTTTATAGCTCTACTGTCAATTGATTCACCTATTATAATTTATCTTTGATTCTTTATTCATTTGGTTAAAGTGTGCACCTTGTCATAACATCAACATGAGCAGACTGATTTCATCTATCTCAGTCCTACATGTGGTTTGCAATAACATTGTTGCCTGGTTTATCTTGAACAATACTGGTAGAATTTTTTATACTGGCTGTGCTATAATTGTTGACATTTGATGAAAGGGCATGAACTGAGGGATGAGATCATTACTGAGCTTAGTTGATTAAAAAGTGCTATGATGGAGGAAATGAGGAATTCTGGATGTTCATTATCTGCTTATTTCATGCTCATACTCTTATATGGTGTCAGTTGGTCACTTGCATAAGCATGAATGTCACTAACATGTGCAGTTTGATTAAGCAGACTTGATACTGTTTGCAAGTGTGACAAGCCTATCAGTTTCTAAATTGGTGGACGCTCTCACATGATCTTCGAATTTGTTGGTAGACACACATGTGAGTCTTCTGTTCTGCAGATATAATCCTACTTCAAGGTATTTTTCAATCTTCTTTCTAGTACCTGTGTACTGTTAAGGATTTGATTTTTTTATGCTTTCTACATCGGAATAAAAATGCATTATCATTTTTGAATTATAAATTTATAACCAAGTATGATATGAACTATGAAGTATAGTAAACTGTGTGGTCTAAAACTCAAAATACCTCATTTCTGATACTACATTTCTGTTTGCATTTGCAAATTAATAATGAGCCATCCACGACGGAGTGATGAATTTGTTAATATAATAAAGCGATGTAGGGAAGCAACCAATTGACAAAATACAGACAGAGTGATTCGAATAGACAACATAATGGGCGAGGGGTAAGGGTCAATACACAATCAAAGTACAAATCAGCTTTGACATATATATGACGGGTATGGTTAGTACAATAATGGTGAGTATTTCTTGGAGCCTGTTGTTTAAAAGATAATTCATGGTTTGTTTGAGGTGAATTACTCAAGTTTCCTTAGGGTAATTGAAGTCTATCAAGTATCAGTTGAAGTCTATCAAGCATCAACATGACCTGTTTGTCTGTCATTGCTTCCTTTTGAAACCTTAACTTTGCTTCCTTTGTCGTATCAAAGACTTATGGAACATTTTAGTGTATAACCTCTACGTTTTAGTGTGCTTGAGAGGGCTAATTGACAAATTGTAATGGTGTTCTAGTAGAAAGGAATTAGGATTTATACTTGGTTTTATTTTGTTATTGATCTAAATCTGGTTGGTTGTAATCCTCATTTTTTTTATTAAGCAATGGTTGTATTAATCTGATGTTTTTCTTTCTAGTGAAATTTAGCACATTTTTCTTCAGAGCTTGTCTGTCAAAGTTTTGGTTTGTTGTTTTAGATGTGTTTAGTATAATTCATGCGATGTTACTTGTTAGAATAAGATAAATAAGTAAATAATTCCATGTTACGGATCACCAGTTAAAACTCACCGTGATGTGTCTTTTGATTTATTTTTAAGGCAATTACTCATTTGGCTGAAAATGAAGCTTTGATGTAATGGTGATGTTCGCTCAAAATTACACAGGATAATATTGTTGCAATGATCTGCATGAGTAAGAAACGCTATAGCCTTTGGTTGCTGCCCATCATCATGTTTTTTCATCATGAATTGTTCCCTATGCATGGTCAATTGAATCACTTGCACTAATTTTGTTTTGATTGGTTATTCAGTGATTAAGTTGGCAGTTTTGCACCTTATCAAACCATTTGACATGAGCAGTCTGATTTCATCTATCTCAATCTGATATGGTTGCAATTTTATTGTTAACATGTTTATCTTGAACAATGCCCTATGATATTTTATACTGGATATGCCTTGTTTAGGATTTGATGAAGGTGCATGAACAGTGTCGTGAGATCATTCCTGAGCTCATCAGAACGAGTTCTAACTTCATGCTCAAGCTCATAAATAGTTTCAATCATTCACCTACATAAACATCTGTGTCACTCAATTGTGCAGTTCAATTAAGCACACCACATATCATCTACAAGTTCGACAACCCCATCATTCACTGTGTTGGAGGAGAACACGTTTGCATGATGTGGAATTTGTTGGCAGAGACTTATTTTAGTCTTCCCTGCTGCAGATATGATCCTACTTATATTAAGGTACTTTTCTATCTTTGTTTTGATACCTTTTTGCTGTTAAGGATCTGAATTTTTTATGCTATTTACATTGGAACAGAAAAGCATAATTATATATTTGAATTATAGATTTCTAGCAGATTCAGATATGAAACATGGTAAAAATATCTGATCCATTAGTTGACATTGTACAATTGTTACATGTTAATACTTAAAACAATATAAATATGCACTGAACAATATAAAAAAGAATGTCAGATG